CGTACAAAGCTATATGAGGGCTACCTGTGCTAGCTGTCCCTAATTTAGCAGTGAAATACTAGAAGGAAGGCAGCTAGTCTTAACCGCCCACCACCAATGCTTTTACCAACGAATATGGGGGTTGACCGTAACATTATAATGCCCCCAAGATTAAAAGAGTGAGAATATTTGGTGGGACAGCCATTAGAAAGCACGACCCACAGACTGTGAATTGAGCACTGGCCCATACCTGGTTTCTATTCAGAGACAGGCCAATCAAATCTCTGCACTCTACATTGCATGATAAGCCTACCCACGTTACAGACAAACTGTCTCTTTTTACCTCTGAAAAAAAAATTGTTAAGCATTTGCATAAAAACAATGAAGACGGGTCTTTTTTTACCCCAGCCCTGGGTCTATAGCCCCAATAGCTCCTACCTTAATCTGCCCCTGTACACATTACTGTTATACTGGCAACAGGTTGGGCTATCTTAAAATTTGAGAGGTGTTATGTGTGATATGTTTTATGTATTTAATTACATTTATGTAACAATAATTGTTTTTATATTACATTAAATATTATTGTATTTCGACATATTTTTGTAATATGTAGTATAGTACCAGGAACTTTAATTGTTCATGTTAACTGGAAACTGAAGCATGTTAAATTTTAAATTGGTGATTAAAAAATACAGATAATGGTTGGGCTGAGGGTGTTCCTGGGCTAGGTAATGAAGGTTGAAACTATAATATACAAATACTATCACTGTACCTCTTTAATAGTTCAGAAAAATAATTAATTTTCATTGCTGGTATATTCTAGTTACATTTTTTAAATTTTCATATAGATGTTCTACACCTTTAAGTTTGCATTTGACCTGATCTTCAGGTATATTTATGTTATATCAGAGAATTTATTAATCCTTGTTGAAGGTCAAAACAATAATATTTTTACACCTGGCTGTTCTGAGTTATCTCCCAACTTCTTGAAAAAAAACTTGGAATAGTCAGCACTGTGGAATTTATATATAGGTTGACAGAAAAAGTTGTTAATGTCAGTTTATGAACACTGGTCAGATCAAGGTTATGGCAATGAGTTCAGTACAGTGGAATTGAAGTATATTCTAAGTGTAGTAAGATCTCATTCTTATTTCTGACTGAAGGTAAGCTCGATCAACCTGAATTTCTCTGTAAACCTGACAAGAATATTTATTTTAATTACACCAAACTGAACATAAACTGTTTTTGTACACATTATGTTCCCTTTTTATTTGCAGTAGTTATTTGTTAAGCTTTGCTTATCAAATCCAGAATTTTAGAGGTACTTAATGCTCATTTGTTGGACATTAGTGAACCTTAATACCACAAAGGTAGTTGAAATTTGTTTTGATTTTATTAGATCTACCTTTCTAAATTAAACTTTTGACACACACACAAACCATGTGTGCCCTCATAGAGAATAAGTCCTTTGATGTAGAGTACATGTGCTATTGACATTCTACAATTTCTCCATGTGGTAGCTTTAGTTTGCAGCAACATATAAACAACTTTTGTCTACTGTGATCCATCGAAAAGTCGTCCTTTTCGTTTTTTTCTGAACCTTTCCTTACTAGGAAAACATAGGAATCCATACCTATATGTTCCAGCCGACATGATGGATCTTCAAAATTTGGAATGCTTTCATCCATTTCAGGATCATGATGCTGATCTTCCCTACTGGTAGTAGCATAAAAGAAGTCTTCATTTTGTTCTTTTTCTGACACCAGATCCTCAACAACTATACCAGTATTTTTAACTCTTTTTTTGAAACTCTCACCTTAATTGAATTGATTATTTGGCAACTGAGGTCTTTCTCTACTAAGACTTTACATTTTTTATTGCAGTTATTTTGTTTAGTTCTGTATCAGACCTGCTTTCATCACATCTGCAGTATCTGATTGATTCGTCCAAAGAACAAATTTTCCAATAGCTTTATTAATTCAAAGTTATGCCTTTTGGTTTTAAAAATGCACCTACCACCTTCCAGAGACTAATGAATAAGTCCTTATCAAAAGCAACTGAATGTTCCAAGGCTTATACTGATGATATTATAGTGTTTATATCCACATTTGAACAACACTTGGCCTTGAATTTGTTTTCTACAAGCTTCGTACAGCTAATCTTACTGCAAAAGTTTCTAAAAGCAAAAGTATCATATTTAGGATTTAAGCTTGCTTCTGAATACACATAAATGATGACAAAGTGAAAGCTCTTACAGAATTCCCAACTCAAAGAAACTGTAAAGAGTTAAGCACATTCTTAGGTACATGTGCCTGGTGAACGTTTATATGAGTTACAAAAGAAGTGTATCAGGTGGAAATCTAAAACAATAGATCTTCACAGAAGACGATCATACATGGGTGACTGCACCAAATCTGTACTAGTATACTCTTTGCCAAGTGTGAATTGAGGTGTTGCAGACATTACTAGAAAAAGGAAGGAGCACATCCCTACAGAAAAAAATAGTGGTGGGACAGGGATCCGAACCACCATATAACAAATCTCAATCCCATAGAATACTGGAATGTGGATAAAAGTAAAAGGATGTGCTCCTAGGTGTAGAGTGGCTAGGGCGTGATGGACTATATATGGCAAGTCAACTGCATCCAAACTCCAGGCCACCAGGAACTAATATCTATGCTGGGGTAGGATGAGAGTCATATTGGCAGCAAGTCAACTACAATCTAAAACCCAGCCATTGGGAACTGACATCCATGTGGAGGTAGGAAAGAGGATTATATTTTCTTCATCTCAAGTTCAGCAGACCAGAGGGAATCTCATACCCCAGATCTATGAAAGGAACACATGATAGCAATGTGATAAATTGTTTGACTGATCCAGGAACCCAACATCTGGACAGTTGATATAGTTAAGATGTCTCTGTAATATAAAGTATCTCACCCGAAAATAAGGAATCTCCCCTACTGCAATAACATCTTCAGTATAATAAAATCATTGAGAGATAACGTAAGAGGAATAACCATATTAATCAGTAAGTACCACCACCATGACCCACAACATGGATGGATGAACAAAACTATAATTGAGTGAGGAAACAGAGACACCTATAATACATGTGTGAGGACTTGTGTTGTTTGATTCGACTCTGAATATTAATGAAGCAAATATATCACGAGGACAAACCTACAAGTGATCTTGTGGAACACCCCATCTCACCAGTGAGCATGTTATGGCCATGGAAATTAGAAAGAAGCAGTCACTATGGTCTGATAGTGCAGATCTGACGATGAGAAGCATACCTGGTCAGACACCACTTGCCAGACAGTAAAAAGAAAAGAAAGGGAAAAGCCATTGAAAAAAAAAAAAAATATATAACTTACTCAATCACAGTCTCACTGAAGTCTGAAGAATGGCTACAGGCAGAAGATAATAACCCAAAGATGAAGACACAGCAATCTGATGCAGATAGTGAGATATGAATGTATGTGGGGTAGTTTACATCCCCGATTGAAGAATTTCCTCCAAGGGAGGATGGAGATGACACTAACAGATTGATTAATTTTTACTTTTATAATCAATTGGCCAGATTTGTTGAAACTTCTAGAATATCAATGCTCAAAGGACATGTGCTAAGAAGGAAATTCCATGGTCACACACTTGCATAACAACTCTTGATGCATCTGATCTAAGGCCAACTTTGAGCAATTTTATCTGATCACATATTATCAATAAGTGTCACCATCCATCTCTGGTTATCTTTTAGTTTCTGCTGGTCTCATTAACTGTTTTGCCAAGCAACTTGATATCATTTCTTTTGTTGTTCGACATTGGAGTAAGTAATTTAGTATAAACATACTATTTAATACGCTACTTGTCGTCTAATTTGAAGATTGGAATGTATCCTTGAGACTGTTCACTGCATTCTTAAACAGAGGGGCTAACTTGTTGAATAAACATCCTGTCTAATCATAACTACAATTTGTCTGCCAAATTAGATAACAATAGAGTAGGCTAACTTTTATCCTTTGTTGTATATGAAACAAACCATTTCACAATCCACATCTTTGATAATAGTTATATGGTCAGGAAGTCAAATTAAAGTAATCATTCGATATTAACTAAATATGCATTCTAAACACACACAAAAAATTATTTCCTATTAGTGCTTATTTCAAAAGCATATTACTTCTTCAGCTACATTTAGTATGTCTGTGGTAGGTGATGATGATACATTTTCTTGAATAACATAACTTGGTATGCCTGTAGGTTCAGAACAACATAAGCCTTAATTGTAACACATTTTATTACTTATGTATAAAGCAGTAATTTGTGGGGTTCATATAATGTAAAGGACTGCAAGAAATAATATGCATCATACAAAAACAGAATTAAAAAAATACTTACATAGAAAAGACAAATAATTTGCTTATTTGGTCATATTTTATTAGCTACCCTTACAGATTAAATACTTGAAATTCATTTTTCATTAAAACATTAGTAGTTAAATTATTTTAAGCTTATTAATATAATTTGTAATGAATTAATTACACATATTTGTTTATTAATATAATCTGTAATGAATTAATTACACATATTTGTTTATTAATATAATCTGTAATGGATTAATTACACATATTTGTTTATTAATATAATCTGTAATGGATTAATTACACATATTTGTTTATTAATATAATCTGTAATGAATTAATTACACATATTTGTTTATTAATATAATCTGTAATGGATTAATTACACATATTTGTTTATTAATATAATCTGTAATGGATTAATTACACATTTGTTTATTAATATAATCTGTAATGGATTAATTACACATTTGTTTATTAATATAATCTGTAATGGATTAATTACACATATTTGTTTATTAATATAACAAGAAACATTAGACATAACAATAAATGTAAAGTATGTTCATTACTATATCAGCTTAAAAAATAAAAAATCATTTCAAACCATCATTTTTTATAAAACCTTTTCTATATTTCTCCTCATTTTTCTCTAAAAGATCTAGTAACTACTGAACAATAAGTTTTATAGGTGATAAATCTAACTTTTATCATATGAATGATTAACATACTTGCAACTTTACATTCATGTTAATATGGACACTTAAATAAATTCACTGTAAAACCAAACAATTTAGTAATAGGTTTAGAATTTCTCAAATGAAGAAACAAAAAGCAGACAATTTGTACTGTGTGCAAAAGGCAATATTTTAGGAAATCTACACACAAAATTTCACATCAAAAAATTGTTAAATTCAACTATAAACAGTGAAATGGCACAAATGGTAATATGCATTATTATGAAACTCACTAGTTGGATGGGTTAATTTTATTCGTTTTTTTTCACTACAATGATGATACTCCTGTGCTATTTGTACATATATGTTTCTGAAAATAAAATAAAACACAAAGTTCAAATTAATATCTAAATAAGTTTAAATAATGACCAGAAATTATTTTTTAATATTCTAATTATCTGATTACAATTACATTGTGTAAGGTTATAACAAGAGGGAATCCTCAATAGCTGCAACATTTGAAATTCTTTTAGCAGGATTAGAGTAAATTAATGTACGAGACCTATTTTACTTTTTATTAGCTACACCTTTGTGCACCAGCAATACCAAGCATGAGGCTTACATATACCCAATTCAATTTTATTACTCATCAGAATCTCTACCAGCCTACTCTCAAATTGAAATTATTTTAGG